AGGGTCTTTAGATTATGTTGGATTGGCAATAATGTTGGTGATGATTTTGTTGGTTCTGCTGATACTTATAGGGAAGTTGATAGTGGCGGCGTTTCAGAGGAAGTTTTTGCACCAGTTGAAGCTGGATCCGAGGTGGGGTCCTCGGTCGGAGGTGCTGCGCAGGAGTCGGGCGATGTTCACGGCACACGCGATGACCAAGGAGTACATGTACCGGCAGTACCACCTGCAGGCGGGCGTGATAGCGAGACAGAAGGTCTCTAACACGCGCAGAAACACTGACGTATAGTTTAGCATCATCATTTCGTGCGGGGCACCGATTCGACGTACCTCCCGATGAACCCTGGTGTCATAGTAGTTTAGTTAACTTTGCGTCAATGCTGCTCAGACGAGAATTTATGTGTAGATTTTCTAAACAAGGTGTTTCACATAGATGACGTAGGTACTTTAAGAAGTAAGGCAGGTTGTTTTAAATTTTAGATTTTTAATGAACTAACTACTTACTTAGAAATAAAACTACTCAGTATGAACCTAGTTTTATTAAGTCCTTAAACTTTTTAAGCAGTGATAAGAAATCTTTATATAACACATTTTTGTTGAGTGCCATACATAATCATAACCATAACAGCCAGAACAGTCCACGGCTGATATACTCACCACGCTCGGCAGGCGGATGAGCGAGCGCAATACAAGATGTTGCATTTACAGGGACCGCTGCTGCCTATTCCCGGATCGCTTTTCACGAAACCCATTGGTAGAATTGATTTGATTCTATTCCAAGAGTGTGCAAAACCTAGACATTAATTTCATACAGATCCTAAAAATAACCGGTCTTACATTGGTCCCTTACAAGGCATGGGTAGGTTGATGTGATGCGGATAGTACATACTCAAAGACATTAATCAATGTACGTCTAATGCAATCAATTTTCGTGTTATAGTTCTACTATACGACCTAATGGGATATCAGCTTAGCTGAAATTCTCTTTTGTGTAGGTTACACTACAGGCAATAAGAATAGGGTTGTCAAACGCCCAAATAGCCAACTCGGTTTAAAGGTTTAAGAAGCGACTTCTCGCGTCATTTTTTGATTGGGTGGCTGACACATGACAAAAGATGAAGTTTAAGCATTTCCTTTACAAACTATCGCGCCTTACCCGGATAAGTAAACGAAAAATATATCCATTTGAAAATGACACAAACAACAAAAATTCGTGATAGATTTACCAATCTTGGATAGGCCTGTTGCATCTGACGAGACGTGTCAGTTGTGTCAGCAAGTTGAGGCAGTTGTAACTGCCAATACGAAAACGAAAGACTTTGATGCTAGGGTTATTTGAAAGTAATTTCAAAAGAAATTTAAAACTAAATCCATACCTACTTATTGGAAAATTTTGTGCAATGTCATGTATCTTATATCAAAATCATAACTGTTATATTGTCTGCGATTTTTCCCATCAGGCAACCCTGTGTTAGGATAGCGGGGGTCCAATATTGCAGTAATATATCAACATGATGTGTCGGATCAACAGCGCTTTGACACGCTTTTATCCCCCCCCACTTCGATAGTAATTTATCTGAAGAAAGACCTATACAATCGACCTAAATACTCATTTCAATTAATAAAACACATTTTCGTGTAGTTTCGGTAGCTATCCCTTAGGCTTTATCCGTACAACTTTTTGTGGAAAAGATCTTCAAGTATTGAGAGTGCAAGATGTTGCAGATATTCACAGGGAACGCTGTTGCCCATTCCCTGGATCCATCCCTTAGTGGCCTTTAACGACACCCACCTACGGGTAGAAATGGGTTAGAAGATCTACTTACAGATATTAATGTAGCTACGACCGTGAATATTATAATAGTTATAGGCTAGGTAAAACGTAAAATTGAGGCCCAACTTTAAGTAGTATTTCTATTACTGGCTGTTTTCTAAATAAAAAATATATCCTCCTTTCAGGATAGACAGGAAAACCAATCTTTGATCTTATTTTCGAGTCTGTTTGCGTCCGGGGTTAACGCAAACGTAAACAGCTGTTGCCTCGTGGTTCTAAATTCAAAGCGAAATGTTCGCGTCCAACCGTCCAGCCAGCGACGCAGTGCCGGCGTAATCCTTGAATCTAGAAACTCAGATAGACGGATCAGGGGAAGGAATAAAATTACTGTGAGAGCTGATGTGGCACAGTGGTCATCATCATAAGCCTCATACATCTGTGACAGACGATTATTATTCAGAGTCTAAGGCAAGAGTTTCCATGGCCATTTTAGAACGCAATATAGTAAACGCAGAGCTGCCCAGGACCTGCGCCACTCTCTCGGCCTCCCTGGCTGACGTCGATACGTGCGGAGCCAGGTCGGTTGCAGGGGTCTCTAGTGTCTGATAGATACATATCTCTTGATTCTTGTAGATTTCTAAACTAGTCTTAACTCAATGCCCCACTGGGACCCTTTTTGCGCGAAAGCCCACTGCTGCACTGCAGCTTTCAGGTGAATATAATTTTTCTTTTGTCTTTTCGCATCAAGTAAATGACCTATGTCCTGCTGTCAGAAATCAAATAAACGCTTAGAAACACTATAGTTTCTTACAGAATAGAGACCGTTTTCTTTTTTCTTTGGTCTGAGGGGACCAGACCAGACATTCACTCGTTCGGAATGCAGAAGAGACGTGGCGGCAATTTATGACTGTTTGCAGCCAAATTTTCAACAAAACCGGGCGTGTACGGAAAAAACCGGGTTCTCCAAAGTTTGGTTCACAAAACACCCCTGTACTACGCCAGTGGCTAGTTTAGTTACAAAAGAGCAATCGTTTAATTTTCAGTAAATAGAGTACTAAATTCGTCTCTACACAGAAAAGAGAAAATTCTTGCAGTTGAAATTCTCAATGCATAAAATGGCTCTTTGTTTACAGAAACTGTCCAGTTACAAAATATTCCTTGATGAAAATTTATTTACGAAACAGACTGTATCACGAAATATTTTTTACGTTGTTAGATAGGTACTCATTTTTTTTCCATTATTATTATCACAGCAGTTCCATGCTTGATTCAGACATCTAGGTATATCTTTTCTGATTTGAGGTGAATTTATGTGGCTTCACCATACCTACCCCAGAGAAAACGGCGCAATAGACACCTGATAAACAACGATGAAAAAATTACTTACTTAGTTTCTTATTCGGTAATTTGAGAGAGTGGCATTTTTGCATAAAAGTTGGGAACAAGGTCTATCCGGCATTTTCGGAAAGTTGCATTCTGGCCCAAGCACTAACCGGATTAGGCAGCACCTTGCAATGTTGTTTCAACCGAGTTCGGGGCAGGTTGTTACGGACGGGGCAGGTTGTTACGGACGGGGCAGGTTGTTACGTGCAGTTGTCGCTTCAATCCACCTTAAGCCTAGTTCCAGCTTCGCCACAGTTTACCGTTTAACTGTTTTAGGTTTGGGGTTTAGGGGTGAAAGGGGAAAAAAACAAACAGGGGATTTTTGGTAACGACGCCACACTCAAGTGCGCCTTTTTCTGTGATTGGTCGAAAATGTGTAAATGTTAAAAGGTTTTATTACTTTCTGCGTCATCTAGGCGGAAGTGCGCCTGATGCGACCTACAAATAGAGGATCTCTCCACTATAGTATTTGATAAAAACAGTTTATGATAAATGTACAGTACTTAAACACAATTACATCACATTGACGATTGACCTTTTATGCACCAGACCATTACATAAACAAGTCCAGATCATAATAAAACATGACTCAATTACATGACTAATGTTTGTGTTCCTATGCTTAGGTATTGCTTGTGACCTAGCTACACGCATGTTTTCTGCTACGCTACTTTACTCATGTTTTTTTTTAATTTGTGAAGTTTATGATATGAAGAAAATATATTATACTCCTAGGAATAGATAATAGACCTTACTTAGGTATATTTACAAAATAGTTTTTTTTTCTATAAAACTGAGGCTACCATTTTGTATGTGTTTTTTTTTGTTAACAGTCTAGATATAAACTCATGAGTTAGTGCTATGTGCCCCCATAAAAGTACTAGAAAGCGCTAGAAAAACAATTTAGAAAATTTATCCTAACACGAGTGAATAAAATCAGCAATAAAAACCAGCGATCTTCCGCTCTACTAAGCATCATATTATACAGCAGATTGCCTCGATAACCAGATTACATTAGAGGTTAAGTAGGCGATGTCGCTTAACAAGGCATGCATAACTCGGGGTTAAGTGGCGACATGAACTCAAGTTGCCCCGGTCTCCCCCAGGGACGCAATCGACACTTGAGATAACGAGGTGGCCGTCTTGCCCCCGCTACCCTCTGGAGAGATCTAGAAACATGATGAAGTAGATTCGATTTGGGGTAGTGTTGCCGAAATTATCGATAGTTCAATCTGTAGCAATACTATCAAAAGGTACTGTCGATAATATTAATTTTAGGAACAATCGACAGTATCAATACTATCGATATCATGAGGCCTTTTTTGACATATTTTTTTATAAGTAATAATGGTACTTAGTAGTGGGCTGAGCTAATGTCAGTGAATTGATCGAGACAGGCCTGAATCGATACTATCGATAGTATTGCTGTATTTTGAGCTATCGATACTATCGATAGTTCTTCGAGTATATCGATAACCTGAACTATCGAAACTTCACTGTCGAGCGGCATCTCTAATTTGGAGCTCCATGAATTCAGGATGGACTGAACTCGGTGCGATCACAAACAGAGAATGTATCTACAGGTGACACACTCTAGGTCTGCTGTAAACAATTCCTTTTGAGAGATAAACATCGTCTGTTGTATTTATTTTCTTTTTATGTCTGTCTCTGTTAAAAATAAACTTTGGTGGATGTAGGGCAGCTGATTTCGTCAACTTCTTATGTATCGTACAGTTAACTTAGTTTTGAATTGATTTCTAAGGTATACATATACAGGGTGGCCCAAGGTTTCGGTTAACCGTTCTTTACCTACATCTGATGTTTTTGGAAAACTTGCAAAATTTTCCACCGCAGGCAAGATTTGAACCTGCGACCTTCGGCACCTGTACTGCCGACGCCACAACCAACTGGGCTACCGCGGTTCTAATCGAGCCTGCGAATTTAGCAAGTATATCTTGTCCACTATCGCGTGGATGGGCTCCATCTACCGGGATAGTTTTTTCAACTAATTCCCAGCGACTAATTCATTCTTTGCAGATTGAATGTAGTCAAAGCGATGAAAACCCGCGATAAAATAAATACCAAATTTTTTAAAACACTTCTCGTGTTAGGTAAACAATTTTTGGAAAACTTGCAAAATTTTCCACCGCAGGCAGGATTTGAACCTGCGACCTTCGGTAGTACAGATGCGAGAAGTGTTTTAAAATTTGGTATTCTACATCTGATGTATCTACTCAAAATTATTGTTTATCTTTAGGAGAGTCTCACATTTACTAACGTCCGTTACTGCGCTAATGCATCCGTCTGTCAGATACTTACAATAGCAGTCAGATAGTTTTACATACCAAAACCGACATTTAAATAGCGCAACGCTTGTTTCTGCGCTGCGTTGGTTTAACACGAGATTTTGCGTTGCGTTATTCTCACGTCGGTTTCTAAGATAAATCTGACAGATGTTTACATCTGACAGATGCATGCGTTGGCGCAGCGCTAAAATAATAATGTCAAATGTGATACCCAGCCTTTCATTAGAGTGTAGATTGGTGAATATCCAACTCTATTATGATTATAACTAAGTATTATCAATCGACTCCATCTGATCACGTAACAATATCACATCCCCAATTAATTATACAAGTCAAATTAAACTCGTATAATTACTCCAGGTTGGTCTATTAGTTTTGAATAACACACAAACTTCTGTAGATCGCAATTAAGGGGTGTTTTCAAGTACCTATGTCTATGAGCAAACAATCAGATCTTTCGTTTGCTGTGTGGTGCCGGCTTAGAATAGCATCACCCCATATCTTTCCCGTGGGTGACGTAAGAAGCGACTAAGGGATTTGAAAGTTGATGTGTTGCAATTTTAGGCGACAGGCTGGCAACTTGTCGCTTTGGCGATACACAGTCTTCTGAATTACTTTTGTTAAACATGGTGTAAATGGCCGTCCTTATAGCGGTTCACTCTCTGCCTCCTCAAACATAGTAGTGGATATGGACGTGATGTGTGTTTGTATGTATGTATGAAATGAATATACTTTAGGCGTACTATTTCTCAGATCCTTGGATAAAATGGGTATGATATTGAATATGACATCGAAGATTTTCCGTGTAAATTGTCATATTTTATTGACTCTAAATACACGATATAAAACCTAAATAGTTATTGAACCTTAGCGAAAAGTTCACACAATACTAATTCCACAATAATAGTTCTATTAACAATAACCAACCAAACCAAGCAAAACAGACCTGTTACACGATAGCGTGTAGGCGGAAATTGTTTCTTTGACTTGGGTTAATAAAAGCCTTTACCTAATAGTTAGGTTTTTTATAAAAAGACGCAGAGGATGGGCAGCAATCTTCCCTGTTAATGAAACATCTTGCACTGCGCTCGCCAATCTACCTGCCAAGTGAGTAACTAAGGGTATTCCCCCCAAATAAGAGGAGCGGAATTTTGCGGCTGTTACAGTTGAAATTGACGGGCGACCGTGGTAGCCCTAAAACGTTTAAAGTGTTTTTAATGTGATAATCAATTCTGGGCCCACCCCGAATTTGCCGAATCCCGAATACGGTATTGTATGAAATTCTTACTAAAACTAAAAATTATGATTGTTTTTTATCACAATCTTGCAAATATCATCTTTATACAAAACGGGAATCCCAAATTCAAATTTAAAAGTTATTTTTCTATGTTATTTATAAAGCCATTGACGCTCTGCCTACACCATACACCTCTGATTTTCTTGTTAAAATATCAATACTAATTCACATTGGAGCAAAATGCTATCAAAACAGTTATTTTTAGATTGCCTTTGTTATTTTTAGGTTAAGTTTGTTTTTTGCGCCGTTTTAAAAGTAGTTATACCAGCATACCTAATCCAGTAAGTACAAGGAATATGTAATACGATTTTCATGACCATACATTTTGATTTACGAGGCATTTGTGAGGGGCCTTAAGTTGTATGGCCAATCCTACTTCCTACTAATATTATAAAGGCGGATGTTTGTGTGTGTGTTTGTTACGACATCACGCTAAAACGGCTGATTAGATTGACATGAAATTTTGCACAAATATAGAAGACTATCTGGAATAACACATAGGCTACTTTTTACCACGGGAAAATGTCTTATTCCTACGGGATCACGCATATTCCGATATTTTTGCAAAGGTGGCGTGACTGAGCCGATTCGCGTTTTAAACGTTTTCGCCGAAAACTAACAGCGACATCTCTTGGCGAGTAATGCTTTCTTCCCGCGTAATAATAGGTTGCAGCGGGTGAAACCGCTGACGGGCAGCTAGTTGATTATATATTAACTTTTTGGTTACAAAGTTAATACAAACGAAGCAAGCGGAAAAAAAAAGCTGGCGGCGTGAATTTTTTCCGCTTGCTTCGTTTGTATTAACTTTGTAACCAAAAAGTTAATATCAATATCTAGTGTTTGATTAAAACACCAAGTGTTCCAATAATTACTATCTTGTGGAAAATGTCTACAAAATAGTAAACATTCAATTGATTATATCCTTTGGTATTCAGGTAGGTAGGTAGTTGTACTAAGGGCAACCTATTACGGGATCAACCTGTATGAGTTATTGTTCTTTAATAAATTTTTGATCCTAGAAGTTTCTTACTAATTGCAAGTACAAGTTTATGTTAATCCTTTCAATGGACGCTGCAGGCCGAATACCATCAGAATTTCAGTATTTTTCTGATTACTCAACATAATTTGATTAGCAAAACTCTGGTTCAAAGAAAGAAATATAAAGATGGAAATTTCAAAAGCGTACCTTTTTAATCAGAAACTACGCTGCAGGTTTCAAAGAAATCTTTGAGGCTGACTTTTTAGTTTGTGAGTAAGTCGATCATCGAAAAAGTTCGAGCTAATTTCGAGTTCAGCTCGCGGCCTCGCTATCTCTGTTATTAGACTTTGGTGAGACTGTAAGTGACGATAGGTCCTATAAGTACGTTCCTATACGTAGGCACCAAATGTTAAGTAAGGTAGTATGCATCGTCGCGAGATACCATATGGAATTATGCCTATTACTATATGCAATGTGACAACCCGTGCGGAAAATCATTATTCAAACAATCCGAAATTATGTTACTTATTGCAATGCAACGCTTGAAAATAAAAATAAAGCTGTGAAAGTTGTCAATAAAAGTATGTGGACAGTTTCAACCAAACATCGGTATAATAAAACACACCTTGAGTTGACGAAACTTTATGGGATACAGAATCTGCAGTTGAATCTTTATGATCCTAAGCTTTGACGGTTAACCCATGTTAGTTATAAGGGTTCTACATTATAGGTACTGGTTTTTCTTAGTATTAATATAAACAACCAGTTTAAGTTAGTCTCTTAAATGGGAAGGTGAGTTAGTACCAATTTTATATCTTCAGTCCATACAGGAAAATTTGCAGTATACATTTTACGCCAGCACTTACCCCACAGAAAGGTGAATTTAATGAACCAAGGGAAAGACGTCGCAGATTGAATACTGCACCTTTATATGGGGTTTATAAGCCCTGTCTAATGGAACTCATAAAAAACTTATAGCTCTATTTACTGCCGCCGCCTACGATCGTTTTTATATTTTCATTCTACTTTATGGGCACTTTTAATTGAATTTTATCGGTTGCAGCCGGTGACATTTTATAGTACGATAACATTATGTGTAGCATATGTGGGTTTTTGTTGAACATCATTTTATGATTGTCATGAAAATGAGTGATGAACAATCTACCACCAAATGTTGATACGCGTGAGATAGGTATGTCCAGAAGGTTCACTGGACCCTATTTCCGATTGTCACTTGTTACGTAGCCAGGGTTGCTACTGTCCAAATCTCAAAGTATACCTAAAAATATCAAAACAGGAAATCTGATAAAGAACTTCATAATTATGATTCTGAGCCAATTTTAAATCCAAGAAATATGACGTTCGTGTCAACCACCTTCTTAATTGCCTTGACTTCCCCTGAGATTCCGGTTATTCTAGTACTGAGTGAGCCATCTCGATAGGGTCAGTTCCCACAGAAGGCGACGAGACGAGACGCGACGCGACGCTGCAATGTCATTTTCAAGCGGCATCAAGATGCAACGCGCGGCGCCGCTCGATGCATCTTGAAGCCGCTTCAAACCGAGACGAGACGAGACGCGACGCGACGCGACGATGCAATGTCAGTTCAGGTGACGTCACTTACGGCCGCCTGTCAGTCAGATTCCCACGCTCAGTGTTGCCGCGATGGGAAAAAAATCCTACAACTTTTGGAAACTCGATACGAAAAAAAGCAAAGTAACTTGGTTCTACTTGGTACCTATGAAGGGTAGGTAGTTGTTATTGAACTAAAAAAAGACCATCATTCGCAGTAGTTCAATTGAGTATAGTTTCATGGAACAACTGCGAAGTTTTTTTCGCACTAGTTCCATTGGGCCAGGTCAGACAATGGAAGTATCGCAAACCTTAGTTTACGATCATTCGCAGTAGTTCCATTGAGTAGTTGTCTGTGATCCACCAGATTGTGTGAGAAAATGGTAGGTCTTGAAGTGATCTTTCAGATGACAGCTGTCGAAAATAAGATCCGTTTATCTCGGAAACCATAAATCTTAGACTATCAATTTACGTAAGGAAATGGTAAGCCTTGACGAGTTTTATCAAACGACAGCTGTCAAACTAAAATCACATTTATCTCGGCAATCATTCATGCCAGTCTATCAGTTCGTTTGGGAAAGTTGTACCTAGACCTTGAAGAGACCTTTATTTTATGTGACAGCTGTCAAACTTAAAACTCGTTTATCTTGTCAATCGTTCATGCTAGACTATCAGTTTGTTTGGGAAAGTCGTTAACTTTCATGAGACCTTTATTTTCAGTGACAGCTGTCAAACTTCAAACTAGTTTATCTCGTTAACTGTGCACGC